TCCAGCCATCTTCTTCACTAGGGCAACTAAATAGTTAATGGAAATATAATAGAACTCTGCACCTTGCATCTAACAAGACAATTATTGTGGCAACTGTATTAATGATTTCCTTGGGGATGTAGTATTGCTTTTGACCGTTATTTTGATCAGTAGGAAATTGCAGGTACTTCCACAAGGCCCTGTTTACGTAATAGGCCTTATTCCACAGGTGAGGCATCTATTTCTGTGATTATGCCAATCTCTGAGAATATCTATGCCAACTCTGTACTCAGGAACTGAGGAAATAACTATAGGATGGACTCAAGGATCCTAGGGGCCACTGTTAAGTCGATTCTGGCCAAGATTCCACTTATGACCTGACTCCCAAAGACCCCCCTCTGTGACCAGTGGGCAATAGTAGTATTAAGTGTTCTGAAGAATTAGTGTTGGCTCAAAGTCAATGTCCGATAATCCCTGAGTGAACCCTTTTTTTCCCCCCAAGTTGCCTTGGTAAATGGCCACAGTTCCCTTTGGGAAAGAGTCTATACTTGCGGGGGTACTGCAGTGTTGTTCCTCAAAAGGACCCAGGGCTTCCCTTATTCATGGAGTCTTGGTCTAGTAACCGGGTGTGGGGCTGCCACGCTATTGTAACAACTTGAGTCAGATGTTTCTTCCGCTGACCTGGAGTTTGGTTTTTAAATTTTTGCATTATTTATTTTTAAAATATATTTTAAATCAAATGGGATCCTGGAGGCTAATCATTTATTTTGGTACTGAGAATACAGATCAAAACACCTTGAAGGCCTGCAGCTTCTAATGATCATGCTGGCCTTGCTGCCCAAGACGGAAATGGTGTCCCCATCCCACTGGTAGTGAAGTGCCATTGTTTGGCCTCTGCTGAGCCGGCATCTGTCCGTTGGGATTGAAATGGCGGTGAGGGGAGGGGGAGGCGTGTTGACTGCAGCACATCACAGGTGTTCCTGGCCTGTTTGGAACAGCCACTAAAGCACTCTTAAAGATCTCCTTCACATACATTTTCTGGGCCACCTTGGGGACATAGAAAGAGGACATGGTAAGTGCCCTTTAATATTTCTATCCTCCTTTGTCTTTGAATTCCTTCCCTGACATTATACCACATTATATCTCAGCTTCGTTTAGCATTTTCCTCTGTTGTGACTAGGTTATAGGCAACCAAGCAAGAAAATATTTAGAAACACTTCTAACTACTCAGGCCAATATGTTAAATCCAAATTTCTAGAAAATACATCCGTGTTGATAAATTCAGCCTGAATCTAAAATTTTGGTTTTTTTCTTCTTAGGAAATCCATTCATCTGTGTGTTTCCCCCACATTGGTGTAAATTAGCAAATCTTGGTGTGTGTGTGTGTGTGTATGCACCTTTTGTCAACAGTGTGTGCTAGTCATTAACTCCCAGATTATGCTTTATAATTGGTCCCCCTGGGTGTGCCGGTACCTAAGTCTAGTTATACATTTGGAGATAATGAGGAGTGAAGGGAGCAGAACATAAGGATAATTGGCTTCCTTTTGCAAGTTAACTCTCTTAGGTGCATCCTCATGTATAACAATAATATCCTCATTAGACGTAGGAACAAGTTCTGTTTTGGGTGGTGATAGAGGCTCAGTGAGGTTTAGGGGAATAGAGTTCCCTGAGTTCTGCAGATATTTGCATATATTCCCATTCCAGGTCTTGAGGCACAACACTTTTCTGACCAATACCCTAACTTTCACATACGAGACATAGTGAGGCTGTGAATTCAGTTGACTTTGTAATTTGGCAACTCGTGGAGTTTGACTTTCGGTTATTTCTGCCCTGTGGCTGTAAGAAATGAGTTTCTTTTTCACGTAGTCTTAGAAAATGTTTCAATTTGTATTATGATCTGAGAATTTAAGGATTTGAGTTTGTCACTTATTTTCGTTTAAGAAACCTGGAGCCAACAGAAGTCATACGACCCTGCAATTCTTTAATTCCTTTTGTCTTTCCTGTAGTTTGGCAGGAGCAAATAGTTGCTTCTACTGAGCAGAGATCAGAGGCAATATTTATCTTTTAATTTTTTCTGTCAGAGTTTGCTGTGGACATATCATCCCTGTATATTAGCAGAATTTTTACAGCTCTCAGTCCTAAGTAACCAGGTGGCAGATTCCCCCTCCCACCCATCTCCCCAAGGTTCTGCTGTCTGCAACCATCTCCCAGTACCAATTTCTCTGTACTAGTTGACGTTCTTGGTCCAGATAACATAAACTAGTTCCAGCTAACATAAGCAGAAAGAAATTCACTGGAATGGTATAGGAGCACAGAGTCAATGGGAAGCCCAAAATACCAAAATCAAAACCCAGCCGGGAACCAAGAGAGGATGGGAGGCCAAATACCATCCAGATCACACCACCAGAATAAGGTCACCATCGTTGGCACCACCGCCACTGGCTGTTTGCTGCTGTCACTCTTAGTGTCACTGACAAAGGATGTCCACTCCCCCACATCTGCACTCTCAACTCCTCCACTACTATAACAAAAAACCTTCTGTATCTTTGTATCATTCCCTCAACATGCAAAATCCTGCACCATAGCATCTCATTCCCTGAGCCTAGATCACGTGGTAATACCTTTGGTAGAGAATAAGGAGAGCTGTCCCCTTTGGTTTCCACAGTGGATGGTGGAAGCTGGTCTCCCTCGTATTTTGGATTCCCTCAGACCAGAAGAGTGTTTGGATGCTAGGATGTCCCAATCCACTCCCCCCAGAAACTGTCTACTATAGTCTTTAGACTGAAAGGATTTAGAACAAACATTGCAAAAAGAGAATTAAAGCCTAAAGTAGATGAAGGAATTTATTAATTAATTATTTTAATAAATAAAAACCTCCATGTCTAGAAAAATTTCTTCCTAAGATGCTAAGAAGTCTTGGAAAAGGGATTGCAAAGTAACTATCAATAACCTTGAGGGGCTGGCCCGGTGGCACAGCGGTTAAGTGCGCACGTTCCGCTTCAGTGGCCTGGGGTTCCCCGGTTTGGATCCCGGGTGTGGACATGGCACGGCTTGGCAAGCCATGCTGTGGTAGGCGTCCCACATACAAAGTAGAGGAAGATGGGCACAGGTGTTAGCTCAGGGTCAGTCTCCCTCAGCAAAAAGAGGAGGATTGGCGGCAAATGGTAGCTCAGGGCTAATCTTCCTCAAAATAAATAAATAAATAAATAAAACATAAAAAAATAAATAAATAAACTTTAAAAATTCATGAGAAATTAAAGCAGACTTGAAATTGAGTTGACCTTGTATAAAGGAAAATAGTGGGTTCTGCTAATTACCAGCTTGGTGTTGAATATTGACAATTAGTAGAATCACTTGGTTAAACAGGATCGCTTATTGTAAACCCCTAGGAAATAATTAAGCGAACACTTGAAGCCAGTATGAATTCAATATGAACAAATAGTAGTAACTATCTTTATTTCCTTTTTGAATCAATTAATAGATTCGTAGACCATTGGTAGACAACACAAGAATGTTGTAGGTACGCTGTCTTTATAAAGTTAAAAATACCTTTATTTGCCTTTATTGTGAAAGTAAAACATGGTAATTATAGAAAAGGTAGATAGAGTTTTCTAGTGAAATGAACCCCAGCTATTATCTCTGCTTCCTTCCCACTAAAATTATATTAAAGGAATAAGAAATATAAAAATCCATAGAAATAAAGAGATTAGGAGAGGAGATAACAGGACCAGAGATGACAACAGATTTTGGAAGATGGAAAATAAATGGCTGAGTGGTAACTGACTTGGCAGAACAAAGAAAGCTGAAAGCAAGCGCCTACAGAAGGAAATGCCAATGAAAGCAAGACAATTTGGGCAGCAGAATCCCACGAAGTCTCAGGAACTACAGGCACTGAGAACCTCAGATGTAAGGAGTGGAGCTGAAAACAGGAGAATTGGATACAAGCTCTGCCCATTTACATTTCTGATAATCATTTTAGTGAATTGCTTTTAAACGTGAACTAATAGCCAAAGATAATCAGGCATTTAAGAAAAGCATCTAACATGAAAGACAGAACAAAACACAAGGCAAATAAACAATAAAAAGGACTTGCAGGAAATAGAGACAATGTAGGTAGCAGAAGAAAACTTTACATTTAACATCACCAGAGAGAGAAGAGAAGATATTACATCTATGAGAGAGGCCTTTCATTTTACACTGCACTTGTAGAGGCTTATGAGTCTATTATACAGGGCAAGAGGTAGCCAAGTGGATGGACCTCCCATGCCCAAGAGTGCTCTGTTTTGTTTTGTTTTACATATTGGTATTTTTTTAAATGGTCTTAAATTTTTTTAAAGGGCTTTAGAGTTTTTTGTTGTAAGCAACAGAAACTAACACTGGATAACAAGCAAAAATGCAATTCATTAGGAGTTTATGGGCAGTTCACCAGATGAAAAACATAGGTGAAATATCAGAATCAGAAAGGGCGGGAGCCAGCGCAGCTCTGGGCTCCTGGCAGAAGGAATTAATAGCCAGTTGGATCAGGGCATGACTGCTGGGATGCATGAGTTCCAACTTTTTCTTGGTTGTTAACATGCTAGGAGAGAGAGCCCAGTTGTCCTAGGTTGGGTCAGGTGTACACCCTCTGGCTAGGGGCACAAAAGTTTCTTTATTAGGTAGTTTCACTGTAAGTACTGCAGTGGGAAAGGGAATTTTCCCCTGAGAAGGTTAGAGTGATATTATCAGAAGAGGGAATAAAAACTAGTAAGCAAAACCCACCAACTTTCTATAATACCTATGGCTAAAAATAAGTTTGGAAACACATGAATCAGCAGAACTCTTTCTTTTTCTTTTTTGCAATGACAAAGAATAGTCTATTGAAAGTATGTAAAAAATGTATTATTCCATCAATTACTTCTTATTGGACATTAAGGTTGTTTTCTATTTTTGGCTTTTACAAACAGTGCCTCAACAAACACCCTTAGAGCCCAGTTTTGCATACATCTTCATTAATAAGTGGTAATTTTTGTCATTTACTATAGAATCCCTTAGACAAGATGGAGACTTGTTGGCTGAATGATCGCATATGAAGAATGCTGCCGGTTCATCGATGTTGACTCACAGAGACTTTACTAAAGTTATGTTGATTTTATCCTTGGCCTCTTTCTGTTCAATGACTTTATGGATGATTTAGATACAACCTTAAAAGGCATACTTAACAAATTTACAGATGACATAGATCTAAGAATGATAACAAACATGGTAGAATGTCATCAAACTGCAAAATGATCTGCATGAGCTGGAACACTGGATCCAAACCAACAAAATCAAAACTACCAAATGTAAAAGTTATACATTCACTTTAAAAAAATCAATTGCCCAGAGACAAGAGGAGTAAGTGCTATGTGGACAGAAATTCACACAAAAAGTTCTGAAGATTTTGTTAAACACAAGGTCAATATGACAATAGTATGTTATGGCTGCTAAAAAAAAACCCCCAAACAGTGTAATCTTAGAATCTATTAAAATCGGTAAAATATCTAGATCTTTGGTGGTGCTAGCCCTTTGTATGTCCTGGTCACACTAAATAGAATTTTGGGTTTAATTTTGACTGGTTACACTTTAAAATAGATATTAATAAATTGGAGTGCATGCTAACAAAGGCATCTGAAAGCTATTATGATCATTTACTGAGTGCTTACTATGTACCAGGCACTGTGATGAAAACATTTAAAAACCTATGAAGTAGGTGTAATTTTATACCTATTTTATAGATGGGAAAATTGGGTCATGGGAAGATAAATGACACTCAAGGTTACAGCTAGTAAAGCTAGGAAGAGAGAAAGCTGGGACTGGAACCCAGTAGTCCAACCCTGGAGACAAATTTCAACAACCACACACACTCCTTCTCTATTTTGTGAAGCAAAACAGGTGACCCCACCACATAAGCGTGATTTTCGAGGCTCTGAGCGGATCCTCTGCAGAGATGTATCTTACTGGCTAGCTGGACCACACATACAGACCAATTATGTACTTGGCTTTTATAGTTCTTTCATATCTAAATCTAGATACTTAAATATTTTGCAAATTGAAAGTCAGCTGAGAAAAGATTTTCATAAAAGGGAGAATTGCCCAAGGGTGCTAGACAGCGGAATTCATGCATTCAGCAACCATTTGTTGAGTGCTACAATAGAACTGAGTACTTGGCAATGTGGTAGGCCCTGATAATATAATGATGAAAAAGACCAACAATTCTTTGCCCTGGCAGGGTTCACCACGAATGGAGGGTTGAAAATAATGAAATAAGCCAAAGAGGGGGAACCATGGAAATCACATAAAAACCTTCCCCAGTTGAGTGGGATAGGAGTTTGGGAAGTAAAGACCAAGTTGAAACTTGAAGGTTGAGTCAGAGTTTGCCCAGGGAAGGGGATGGAGAGGAAGGAGAGAGTTTCCCGGGCAGGGGGAGCTGTTCAAGTGATTCCAGTAAGAGATGATGATGGCTAAGGTATGGGCTGTGGGGTGAAGAGAGCATAGATTTTCCAGAGTGGTGTGCGTACCAGAGCTCAGTACAAGATTACTTTATATACTTCACAGATATACATATCCTTTTATTAATTGTGTGTTTATTTCAACATATATTAGAAAAATATATGCCTAGTATACTAAACCTGTGATTTCCCAGATAATATTGTTTAAGATGAAACTAAAGTGGGTACTTGAGTTTTAAAAAGAAAGTCAATTAAAAATATTAAGCAAATAATGGTACTGGTGGCATTGTATTTAGAGAGCTATCAGTGGGGAGCTGAGCTGCAAACTTTCTAAGCGCACAGCGTTGCCGGTAACAGCCACGTCCTGCCCTCCCTCCACCCATCCTCTTGGACTCGGTCTTTACGCAGTATTTGCCCCAGTCTCATCTTCCTTCATCTTGCTGAAATTCCTCACTTTGCCTGTGTGTGAACAGCTTTCTCTCACCATCTCCTTAACACTGGCTTTTGCAGTCCTCTATCGCAGGCTGTTAATATGAGTTTCAGAGCTCTTAATGGTATTTTCCTTTTTATTTTTTTAAAAACATATATCCTTTTATCTTAAAGTTTTCGAGTATGCCTTCTTTGAGACACAGTGGTAGACAATTGCCTGATGGTTTCCACGCTCCTCCTCCCTTCCACCACTCCCATTCTCGCGCCCACTGTATCTCCCAGCCTGTCCAGCATCATTGTGAATCCTCATGCCTGGTTATATTACGTACACCTCAGCAGAATTAGAGTGAGGATGCTCAGTTCCAGTAACCATACCTACTATGGTCAAACTGCTCAGAGCCGAGCAGAATGAGTCTGTGAATGAGGTTCAGCAGGCATTCGAGCCCCCTCCCTCCCCACTGCTGCTGGGACAGACACTCATCCAAACATCACAACTCCATATTCCAGCAAGGACTGGTTAGAGGGGCTGCTGCACAAGCATAACACGCAACAGGGAACACAGACAGGCACCGCAAACACACAGGGCCACACTCGACACATTCATAAAGATGACCTTCTGTTTGGAGCCGGGATCTGTCTGACACCTCTAGCCTCAGGCCGGGGAAATGTGTCATGCTGGGGTCAGGCCCCAGATAATGGAAGGGAGACAAGTGTGTCACCACATTGGCCTGGAGCAAGCTTGTCTGAGTCAAGGAAACACACTGTCCTTGTTTTTTCTCCCCATGACCCACAGGCAGCTCTGGGGATAAGCAATTCAGGCCGCTAACCACATGGTTAAAGGGACAGCCAGAGATTTAATTCTGAGTTATCACAATGACCATTTTTGGAACAAATAGTGAAGTTGAACAGCAGAGTGCTGATAACAACATCCCTGCCAACTGACAGCCCAGCTCTCAGGCGCATTCCCCGCGGAGGAGCCGTGTTCCTAGGACATGCCCAGCCCCGCTTCAACCTTGAGCCAAGGCTCTTCTCCCCTCTTGCTCTGAGACGAGAAGAATCAGGTGTTAGGAATTGCAGGAGTGATACGGAGGTTTCCAAGGGCAGTAGAAATCATCGGAAGAGTCCGCGAGTTACTCCTGTTACAGTCTCTCCTTAACATCTAAAAAAAAACCATATAAAATAATGTAACTGAACAAAGTTTAAGAAAGGAAGACCACAGAATGTGAAAATGATTCGTGATAAATATAACTCATAAAAGCTTAGATTTCTAAAAGAACTAGAGCTAATAAAAATTTATATAGCTAATCCTTAGCTTCTACTTGGCAATTGGTCAGAGTAGAAAAAGATGAGAATAGACAATTTTATACACAGGAAAACAGATGAAAATCATGGCCTAAACCACTGATAGAAATTAGGTAAGTGCAAATCAAACAGCTTAGAGGTTCTATTATACTCACAAGTTTAGCAAAAGTGAAATAGTAAAAGCCAGCGTCAACGAGACTTAAGTAGAGAATCCAAAAGGAAAAAAAATTACTTGCACATTGATGCATTCATAGTATTATTTATAATGACTAAAGTAGTTTAGGAACAACCCCTAAAGCTCTCACAATAAAGATATGCTTGAGTAAACTATGGCATACCAATGAAATGGAATACTATATAGCCTTTAAAAACGTAGGCAGCAATTTCAAGTGAATGTTCACTTCCTAATGAGGGTTATAGATGATTTCAGAGAGATGTACTTGGTTTATGAGATTTCCTTTTCTGTAAAGTTAAGTACATAATAAAAATGTAAGCATATATAGACATATATCATATAAAAGAGGGGGTGGAGAGTAATTTCTTCTTTCTCCTTGCTTCCCAGGGGAGCCATAAGGATGAATTAAGTGATTTGAACTTCTTGGATCAAAATACTAGGTGCTTTTAGGAGTGAATGGTTCAGGTTCTTCCCTGGAGACATTAAAGAATATCCATCTGTCAACTGTTGTGATGTTTTTGAGTTAATTTAGTGACACTAGAAAATGCTCATGGTTAGTGCTGTCTTTATTTTTTTTTAAAGGTTCTAGAATACATCTCTCTTTGCATGTCTCCCCTACCCCCCTCTCTCACATACACACATACACACATGTACAAGCACCTACATACACAGTACGTTAAAGTTAGACTTTATTGGGGCCGGCCCCATGGCATAGTGTTAGGTTCAGTGGTCTCTACTTCAGCAGCCCAGGTTCATGGGTTCAGATCCCGGGCGCAGACATACACCACTCATCAGCCATGCTGTAGCCGCAACCCACATACAAAATAGAGGAAGACTGGCACAGATGTTAGCTCAGGGCTAATCTTCCTCAAGTGAAAAAAAGGGGAAGATTGGCAATAGATGTTAGCTTAGGGCAAATCTTCTTTGGGAAAAAAATTAGACTTTATTATTTGGCATTAGTAAGAAAGGAAGAGAAGGAATCTCCAAAGTAGTTGCTGTCTGTACCTCCACACCCACCATATTTAATTCCTTTCCTTGTTCCTCCTGTTTGGCTTTCCCTACTACCACTCACCACACACACACCCCCTACAAATCTCACCACCACCACCCAGAAGTGATTCTATGGACCCACTCTTAATGATGTAGTATCATAATCTGAGACATTCTAAATCTATTTCTTCCTCTTGTCTTTTCTCTAGCCTGATATTTCCCCAGTAATATTGATGATACAATAGGCTGGGTTTACCTCAGAACAAAATAAATGGGCAAAGAGTTGCCAAATCATTTGGAAAATATCTCATATGAAAATGGTGAATCTTTTTATTATATAAGGAGATACAAATAATGATAAAGAAACACATTTAAATATTTCATTTAAACATATTTAACATTTCATTCATTTCATTACATTTCTCCAGAATATAATGTGTTTCATTATATTGAGAGTTGTTAAAAATGAGATTCCAAAATGACATTCCAAGCTTGTAAAATTCTGAAAAAGAAATTACAGAATGGTGATCCGTCCCATTCCCCCACAAGAGAGTGCTCAAGATATACTATTAAGTTTTAAAAAATTAGAATACAGGGCCATCCCCAGTGGCCTAGTGGTTAAGTTCAGCACACTCTGCTTCAGTGGCCCATGTTCGGTTCCCGGGTGCAGACCTACACTGCTCTGTTGGCAACCATGCTGTGCTGGCAGCCCGCTTACTAAGAAAGAGGAAGGTTGGCGCGGATTTAGCTCAGGGCAAATCTTCCTCGGCAAAAAACAAAACAAAAAAATCAGAATACAAAATTACACATATGATTAAGTTAAAAATCAGAATACAAAAACATGTATATAATAAGAGATCAGCTATGCAACACACACACTCATATCCATTCAAAATAATTGTAATAGTGGTTATCAGTGAAATGATGGAATTGTGAACAATTTAAATGCTCTTCTATATAGTTTCCCAAATTTTCCCCATTTTCTATTATAAGAGTGTGTTAGCTTTATAAAAAAGAGAAAAATCAGAAGAGTTATTAATAGAAAGTAATATCCAGGAGTCTGGGAAGAAGCCTTGCGGTTGAGTCAAGAGGCAGGCAGGGTCAGGAACACAGCTATTACAGCTCCACTTAAGGAGTAGTGTTCAGTGAGGACCTCGTC